TTTTAGAGAAGGTGGGTAATTTAACTAAAACAGCCCTATGCTATGTTATCTATAATTCTAGAAGATCGCGCGGAGAAAAACATAATTTTGTAATCGCTGTCTATTTTTGGTTGCCTATCAAGAGAATTCTTGAATTAAAGACAGGGAAAAACGCTGTCAAAGAAAATGTCTGCTTATGGTTTGAAGTATGTATTATATTTTATTTACAATCATACATGTAATGTTGACTTTACTGACTTTTAAAAAGTTCGAAAATGTCACTTTTTTGACTTTTACTTTCGGCCCACGGGTCGAAAGTTTACTTTCGACCCGCGGGCCGAAAGTAAATGAAATTTTTAAAATTTATTGTATTTTTTGACTTTTACTTTCGGCCGACGGGTCGAAAGTAAACTTTCGACCCGTGGGCCGAAAGTAAATGAAATTGTTAATTATTGTATTTTTTAGCTTTAATCCAAATGAAAATTTCAAAATTCGAATGATCTCGAGATTTCAGTTAGACCTCGGCAGCATCTCGGTCTAACTTAAATCTCTCGACAGTAATGAAACACTTTCCACCTCGGTATGTAATATACTATTGAATATAAGTGTAATATTTCCTATCGCAGATGAACTTTCATGCACAATCATCTAAGGGAAGGAAAACCAAATTTACCATTATGGTTGAGAGCACAGCACCTCAAAAGAAAAGGTCGAAAACAGGGTGAGCATTGTAGGTATCAATAGAAACAGAATAATATAATTTATTTTTAACCATATATGAAATGTTGTCATTACTGACTTTTGAAAAATTTGAAAATGTCACATTTCTGTCTTTATTTTCCTGCTCCATTACCTGTCCCAGGACGGGAAGTGAGGACGGGAAATTTTTTCCGTCCTCATTTCCCGTCCACGGAGGGAAATATTTCCCGTTCTCATTTTCCTCTTCATTTGCCGACCTCATTTGGTTGCCCCGATTTTTTTTTTTTCAAGAAATTATGGTTAAAAATAAAATAGTATACAACCCTCGACGGGAAACTTCATTGCTGTCTCGAGGTTCAGTTTATCTCGACGCTACGCGTCTCGATAAACTACAAAACCTCTCGACCAGTAATGAAGCATTTCCCGTCTCGGATTGTAATATACTATTATTTACATCAATAATTAATAATTTACTCCTTACAAAAATAAGAATTAACTTTACATTAATAAAAATGTTCAAGAACTAATAACCTCATCTGAATCAGATGTATTGTCACAGTTATAATTAATGATTCTACAGTTTTTTCCAAGAGCTTGTCATTGTTCTGCATGTTTTGTTCTTTATTTATTACATGGTTTACAACATTACTCCAGTTTTCTGTAGTTACCTACGTGATTTAACGACATTATTAAACCGTTATCGTCCATCTTGTAATTTGAAGGTCGCGTTATTTCTTGCTATAAATTCTTTCACCTGAGCCCATATTAGTTCAATCGGATTCAATCCGCAATGGTAGGGTGATAAGCAGAGTGTAATTATATTTCGTTTCTTAGCCATTTATTTATTTTATTTATTTATTGACGGGAAATCCCATAATAGCATACAGAACATCTATATACAATTATAATTGGACGTTTAGAGAACAAATTAGTTGACAAAAAGAATTAAAATAGAAAAACAAAAGACTACTCAACAACATGACAAGATGGCGAACATTACTTACAATAAAATTATTTCTTATTACTAAATATCACATTAACAATTAATAGGTACAGGAACTTTGTTTAAGGAGTTAAGCTCTCTTTTAAAGTCTTCACGAGTACTTAAAAAGTCCAGGGTATTGAACTCATTAGAGATTCGGGGAGCTCTTGAGATAAAAGTATTCGAACCATACTTAGTCCGGTGGATCTTTTCTGAGAAGGTAGTGGAAGAGCGTGTGGTTTTTGCTGGGGTATGAAGTCCAATTCTGGATACTAGATACATGGAATCGTTGTGAGAGTTTGAAAAATGTTAATAAATCACTTTGATTTCGTCTGGCAACTAAGGGTTGCAGGTTGAAGCGTCGGTGGAGGTCATCATATTTGCAGATATAATTTTCGGGAGGAGGAATACCTGCCCTGAAGGCCAAATATCGTATACAAATTTACGGCGAATATTACTTACAATAAAATTATTTCTTATTACTAAATATCACATTAACAATTAATAGGTACAGGAACTTTGCTTAAGGAGTTAAGCTATCTTTTAAAGTCTTCACGAGTACTTAAAAAGTCCAGGGTATTGAACTCATTAGAGATTCGGGGAGCTCTTGAGATAAAAGTATTCGAACCATAGTTAGTCCGGTGGATCTTTTCTGAGAAGGTAGTGGAAGAGCGTGTGGTTTTTGCTGGGGTATGAAGTCCAATTCTGGATACCAGGTACATGGAATCGTTGTGAGAGTTTGAAAAATGTTAATAAATCACTTTGATTTCGTCTGGCGACTAAGGGTTGCAGGTTGAAGCGTCGGTGGAGGTCATCATATTTGCAGATATAATTTTCGGGAGGAGGAATACCTGCCCTGAAGGCCAAGTATCGTATACAAATTTACGCTGCACCTGCTCCAAGGCGTTGATGTGGACAGAATACATAGGTGACCAAACCGTGGAGTAGTACTCCAGGATGGGCCTTATCATTGTGCAGTAGAGAAACCTGATGGAAGATATGTTAGTGAAGTCCCTTGAACACCTTTTAACAAAGCTCAGCAGTTTCAGAGACCTGGTAGCTATATCCGAAATGTGGCTGGAGAAGCTTAACGTGTTATCAAAAATGACACCGAGATCACGTTGTTGGTACACTGTTTCAAGTGGTTTATTGTTTAGTTCATATACAAATTGTATGGGGCTTTGACTTTTGGAGAAAACGATAGCTTTACATTTAGAAGCATTGAGTTCCATGTCCCTTGTGACACACCATTCGGAAAGTCTATCCAAGTCAGATTGTAGTCTGGCACAGTCTCCGTGGAAGGAGACTCGGGCGAATATCTTCAAGTCATCGGCAAAACAAAGAAACTCACTATAATTGAAACAAGAACCAATATCGTTGATGAAAATCTTAAATAGCAGGGGTCCCAGGTGAGATCCTTGTGGTACACCTGAAGGGATATCAATGGGCTGTGAGCAGAAGTTGATGATCTTGACTTTTTGGGTTCTGTTCCTAAGGTAGTCGCTGATCCACGCAAGCAGAGTACTATAGATATTCCAATTCTCTCAAGCCTCGCAAGAAGGAAGATGTGGTTGACACGATCGAAGGCTTTAGCAAAATCGGTATATATGGAGTGAACAACTCCACCGCTTTCAAGATCCCTGAGATTTTATCCTGGTACGTCAGGAGGTTAGTTTCGGTTGAGCACTTTGGCCAGGGGTCGTATTTTCGAAACCATGCGAATTCTTTCGCATGCGATCTAATTCGAATGAAAAAATTCGTGTACGAACTAAAATGCGTATTTTTGAAGACCCTTCGAAAATGATATCGTATACGAGTATCATTTGCGTTGGCAACGTCGCAAATTCGAGTATTGGGTAATGGCCATTTCGACCGATACAAAAACGAAGAGGTATTTTTTGAAATTTGGCTTTTTAAAAATACCATAACACTCCCTACTTTTGCTGTTAACCTTTAGACTATCCAAGATGCTGTCAAACTTAAATGAAAATGTCTGTCAAGGTGTAGGTGTTATCAAATGGTGTTATGAGTTTTAAATAGTGCTTATTGTGAATTATCTACGTTGTTATATTTAAAACTGTTGTATTTATGTTAAAAATAGTGTATGTGAACAGTAGTTCGTGTTCCTCCTGCCAGCCATATTTTGCTAGTTTGTTGTTACGCGTTTTGGATAGGTATTCTTTTTTGTATTTTGTGGCTGTTTATTGAGTTTAATCATTGAGTTTATCAAGTATTATTTAGTCTATTCTGTTGGTATAAATCTTGTTGAAATAAATTTTGTGCACCTAATCGTTGGGATTTCCTTGAACGTCCTTGTTTTTTATAACGTTAACTAACAATCATGGTTTTTGGAGGATTTGTGTCTGCTGAACAAAAGAAAGATTTGATTAGCTTCATGGAGGAGCATCTAGAACTAAAAATTAGGAAAATTCAGCTTTCAGGAGCCAAAGAAAATTAGAAGCATTTACGCAAAGTAAGCACGTCAACCAAAGTTCTTCGAGGGCATCAATAACATTTCTTTCGATTAAATAATCCAAGCCAGCCATTCCAAAAACTGTCTTTTAATGAAGCAGGACAATTTAATCCGCAAATTATTTGAAAACGAACGAAAAGTCAAAAAAAGAACGAACATCAAACACAATTTTCAATTTGCACAACGTATTTAGGTAGGTACATAAACAACAAATAACAAATATAACGTATATAACAAAATAATTAGCATTTCAAAATTCTAAACAATGCGCAGAATCAAGTAAAATCACGTAAAATCGCATGCGAAATGTGATATTCGACTGGTGGAGACCCACTCGAGTAAACGTACACGAACTAAATCGTGTACGGACCGTTCGAAAGTCATTCGAAAATACGGAACCTCAATTTTCATGCGAATTTTGCCTTATTTCGTATACGAACGGCATTCGAATGGTTTCGAAAATACGACCCCAGAAACCTGCTTGTTGTTCGATTAAACAAGGGTTGATAAGAGTTAAGAATTTAGTTACTATATTCTCAAAGACCTTAGGGATAGTGTTAAGGATACTGATAGGCCTGTATTTGGTAATGTCCATTTTGTCACCGGTCCTATGGATGGGCGTGATAAAACTTCGCTCCTAAATCTCAGAAAATACCTCACTACTAAGTGATTCATTGAACAAAATGGGCGAATATATGAAGTAGTTGTTCCTTTTGTATTTTGTAACAACTGGAAAATTTCGTTTATCTACGTGTTGTAGATAAAGAAACAGACGCAAAACTACACATGTATCGTGTTAGTTATTTAGTAATAAGCCAGTCGGGGTTTGTAGTTTATTATTTTTCCCGTAACATTGCATTTTGTTAGTGCATAAAAATGGTTTACTCTATAGCCGAAATAAAAATGGTTTACTCTATAGGCGAAAGAGTAGAGCTGATTTCAATATTCTTTGCAAATCATGAATCTGCATTCAGGACAGCTGACATTCTTAATCAGCGGCATCCTGGCATACATGTCAATCGAAACTATGTCTTAGAATTGGTGCATAAACTTAGAGAAACTGGATCGGTATGTAACAAAAAGAGAGATATTGCAAATCCAGCAGTCAATGAAGCAGGGGAAGTAGCTGTTCTAGGTCATGTCACTCAAGATGCAACACTAAGTACGAGAAAGCTAGCTGCTGTCTCAGGGGTCAATCGAACTAGCATACAACGAATTTTGACAAAACACAAATTCCATCCCTACAAAATCCGATTAGTCCAAGAGCTTAACGAAGATGACGTCGATAGAGGTCTGGAATTCTGCGACACGATGAGCGCACGGGTAAATCAGGACCCACATTTGTTATTTAATATCTGCTTTTCTGACGAATCTTCTCCCTTCGACAATGGCACTGTAAATAGTCACAATTGCCGTTACTGAGGGGATACAAATCCTAGAATTTTTCATGAGACGCACACGCAGCATCCAGAAAAGCTGAACGTTTGGGCTGGTATCTTCGGTGACCATGTAGTTGGCCCCTTTTTTCTACCTGATACACTGGAGAAACGTATTTAGAACTATAAGAAACTGCAATCAATCCTGCCTTAACTGAAATATTGGAAAACGATGAACGCTATTTGGAAAATCGTTTTATGTTTCAATAGGATGGCGCTCCTCCCCATTATGCACTCCCTGTACGGGACTATTTAAACCAAGTATTTCCGGAAAGGTGGATTGGTAAGCGAGGTTCTATTGAGTGGCCACCAAGGTCGCTAGATTTGTCACAATTAGACTTCTTTTTGTGGGAATATTTAAAAAGTAAGATTTACGCCACTCAACCAACTGAACCAACTTTTTTACAAGATTTACGGGAACGAATTACCAATGAATGTCATCTCATAAGAGGAGATATGCTTCAAAATGTGGTTTCTCACATATAAATCACTCCTAATAATAGAAAGAAAAGTTGATTTTTGAGTGTCATAATGAAATGTAATGTCATAAACTAGGTATCATTGTAAAGGGAATCGAAAGACCTTTCAAACGAGGTGCAACTCAACCCCCCTTTCCATTTAAGATATCAGGGGTGAGTTTCACCCTGCCCGAGGGATTGTAGATGAGGGTTTGCTTATACCTAATAAATGTCCCCCTCAAAAACAAAGTTGACGTGTTTGAGCGTTTTATTTTTATATGACATTAAATGCCCAAAATCAATGCCGTTTCGTTTTTGATAGGCCACTCTGTATATAAAACAGAGAAAATGTTTCTGTCTACCTCTGTCCGTTATAGTCTAGGAGGCAGTGACGATTTTCGGCACTTATTTTCCCAGTCAGACAACATTGATAGAATTGTAGGGTTAGTAATACTAAGCAAAAGTCATATATTTTTAGGGGGGGTTTTCCGATGGGTTGAGGCGCAAAATGCGTTAGAGCTTACGAATGCACGGCCCTTTTTTTCCAGTGATAAAAATAGAACTACTAATGAGAAGTATACTGAAGTTACGTGAAAAAATAGTCCGGCCAATGTGTGAGTATGGATAATACGTCTGGCAAGTGAAAAATTGAAGATCCGAAAAATTTCAGCCAGACTCACTTTTCACTATCTGAGGTAAGCCAAATTGCTATTTTCATATACTTTATGTTCTATTGTAGTGAATGTGAAACATTTATGACTGAGAAAATAAGTGTACCTGTATTTTTCATTGATCTTTTGAACCCATCCGAAAATTTTTGCGAAACTCGAATATGTATTCTTGTTTTGCATCACCAAGAGAAAAAACTATTTAATATACACCAACTGGGAAAATAAGTGCTAGAAAATTTCACTGCCTCCTGGACTATTATAGACTTTGAAACCATCCGACCGATGTGCCCGAAACCAGTTTAATATGAAAGGTAATAATGAGAAGGTCCATTTCTTAGCAACGGATTTTGCTGAAATTTTGTATACACTTTAAGTTCGGGTGATAATATATTTTTCTACTTGCGTGCGCAAAGTTGAACTTTGCGCACGGAAACTCTTTGCGCACTCATTTTTGTTATGCATGATTACCATAGTTATACTTGATTTTTCAATGTTTTGATGGTTTCTGAATAAACTAATATTCAAAATGAAGGGTTTTAGTTGAAATTAGCGCTTAGCTAACATGATGTTTCCTATCAAAGGTGTCCAAATTGAACCAACCTGTACTGCTAGGAATTTGTAGAATTTTTGGTATTTGAGAGACTCTCATGAAAATATTCTAGCTGGTATTCTAGAAATTCCAGAAGATGTTAAAAGATTTTTGGGGATTTAATTTGAAAGACATTTTGAGGAATTCCAATAGATTTCAAACGATTTTTGAAGATTTTGATTTGATTGATTTTTCTATTATTTTAATAATTCAAAGTCTACTTTTTTAAGATACTCGTAGAAAAAATATTGTTCCTAACACTTGCGCAAAGTGTCTTTCCCGCACTCAAAGCTTATCCGAACTCCGCTTCGCGTCGTTCGTCTAACTGCTTTTTCGTGCGGGAAAGTATCACTTTGCGCACTTGTTAGGAAAATAACTATTAAGAATTGATTTTAGACCACTAATGACAGGTGTCAACTGTCAAATGTGTCAGGTGCAGATTTTTGAACTATTTCTTCGCAACGGATTTTGCTGAAATTTTGCATGCACTTTGGCCTTATTCCGGTTTTAAAAAAGGATGACTCTAAAACGATTCAAAACAGTTGCACTGTTTATTATTGAAATTTGTGATAGCCGAGCCGTTGTTATTTTGTTGATTGATAAACTGTGCCATTGTTTTGAACCGTTCTAGAACCGATCTTTTTTCAAACCCGAACAAAGCTTTTAAGTTCGGGTGATGATACATTTTAGACCACTAATAACAAGCGTCAACTGTCAAAAGTGACAGGTGCAGATTTTTGAACCATTTCTTCGCAACGGATTTTGCTGAAATTTTGCATACACTTTTAGTTCAGGTGATAATACAATTTGGAATACTCAACAGCTGTCTAATGAAAATTTTGACAGATGTCAGCTGTCAAAATATGACAAAAAGGCGTCATATGCCAGCCCGGTGTTCAGAATCGGAAACGCCATAAGACGCAGAGAACATATCCCCTCTACAAAAGTATCTGCATTGTTACCTACCGGTTATGAATTACAGCGCCATCGTTGACTTGGAACCTAACTAATCGAGCAATCTTGACAAAAAGGCGAATCGATTTTTTTTATATATATTTTTATTATTTTTAAATAATTTTTAAGGTTTAAAGTCAGGCCTATAGTTTATTACAGCAACGCGAGATGTCAATGCTGTCACCCCTATAGTGTGCCCTAACTTGACTGTCAAAAAAAAATAGAAATCTTCATTTGGTTAAATTGTGTGATGGAATGTTTTTTCTTTTTTTCGCCGAAATTCGAATAATTATTCTGTTTTACATAAACAGGGTTGTAGTTTCGACCAACGCAAATAATTTTGAACGTTCATCCGTCGGATTTTTTTCTAAACAGTGTAGCTACGGGCTTATTTCCAACTATTTTTGCAGTAGCGAGAAAACTACAAGTTCAAAAAATTTGAAAAAAATATATGTCGCGTAGAATTGCAATAGTAGTTCGTAATAAAAATAATGGGAAACTTCATCTATTCGTTTCGAAATAAATGGTGAAAAACTTTTTTTTTCAGTTTTTGCGATATAACTCAAAAATGGCGAGTCAAATTTGCTTAAAAAAATTATGGATTAAAGTACAGGGTGGCGCAAAATGAACGATATGATTTGAATGCTTTATAACTTTTGTATTTTTGAGTTAATTGTTAATATATATTTTTTTTAACACAGTTTATGAATGGAGAAAATTTTTGACTCAAATGTAAAAAATGACATCTCGCAAGTATCTGCCATTTTCTGCTTCGCAAAGTCATGCTCTTTCCGACACATGTAGCATAACTTTTTGCAAAATTTAAGAAGTTATGGCACGGACTTCATTACGTGGTCTTCCGGCACCACGGAGGTTCCTTACTGAACCTTGTTGCTGAAAATTTGCAACCAGACGATTTATTGTTGACACGGAGGGTCGAAGACGCACATTAAAATATCGACGATATGCATGCTGCGTAAGAACAATAATTGAGTTTTCATTCGCAAAGTAAAATTTAATGATTTTTGTTCGTTGTTGTATCGTATATTGTTCCATTTTAAATTCCCCAAGTCTTCTTTACAAAATCCTAAAACCAAAGAGAAATTAAAAAATTTAATAAAAAAGTTATGAAACAATCAAATCATAACGTTCATTTTGCGCCACCCTGTAACCATAAAACATATATTTTTTTTGGAATTTTTGAACACAAGGTTCAGGAAATAGGGGTTGACTTTAAACCTTAATGTTCAACTGCATTTGGCTTGCTAACTCCTTTTAGCTCTTTTCGCCTCATTTTCTTGAAAACTGTGACTGGCAGGAACTTTCCAATGTCGAACATTGTGCAAAAAGAGTTTAAAGATTAGCCAGTGCCAAATTAGGGTTTTTTCCAACCAGAATTTTTTAAATTTTCACTTTAACGCGCGTGGGGACTGTGGGGTAGGTACAACAACATAATTCAAAAATCCAAACTTTCAATTTCAAAATGACAAAATAAATGACAAAATCAACCAACACAAATCACTGTCCACACCACAGATACCTGCAAATTTCTCTTATCTCCCGACAGTGTCGCCATCGTTGACTAAAAACCTAACTAAAAACCTTCGCCGCGATTCTCCCATTTGAGAAATTTTTCTAGAGGAGATATGTTCTGTGATAAGACGTTGAAAAAAGTTGACAGAAGTCAACTGTCAAATGTGACAGATGGAGAGGTGGACAGGTTGTCAGGATTACCCCCGACTTTAAATAGTTGCTTTTTTCAACAAATAAACAAAGGGTGGCATGAATAAAAACGAAGTACTTGCTACTACTACAAGTATTAGTATGTTCTACGTAGCATTTACTTCAAAACGAAGCATTTACTAATTTCCAGTAGTTTAAAAATGTAGTATCTACTTCGTTTTGAAGTAAATGCTACGTAGAACATACTAATACTTGTAGTAGTGGCAAGTACTTCGTTTTTATTCATACCACCCATTATGTATTTATTTTTTTAGCGTAGTAGCACACGCCGGGTATCCGCTAGTTATATAATAAAAATAATAATACCAACC